GCACGTATCTAAATGGACATTATGGCGAGACTCTGTTCATGGCATGTGCACAGGATGTAAATAACAGCATATTCATACTTGCTTTCGTGATTGGTGATAATGAGAATGACAGATCTTGGTCGTGGTTTTTTGAAAACTTGAGGAAGGCATATGAGGATAGAGAAGGGTGGTGTTTTATATCAGATCGTCACAATAGTATCAAAAACGCTATTGAAAATGTATATCCTGGAACATGTTATAGGATCTGTTCATATCATCTACAAAATCTGAAAACACTCTATGGAAGATCGGGTCACAACATAAAGCAAGCATTCAACTCAGCGGTTCACGCTTGCACCTTATCGGAATACAAATATCACATGCAACAACTCGACACAATTAATAAGAAGATCATGGGTGACCTGGTAATATAATACATTTTATCTGCAATTTACATTCGTATACATGTATCGTACTATTGTAAATAATGTGACTAGCTTCATCATGTTTTTTATTATAGGATGGTGTTGGGCCTAAGAAATGGTCACGATTTCACATGCCAACGAAGAGATATTCCACAATGACATCGAATATAGTAAAGTGAGTTAATGCGGTCATAAAGTCTGCCAAGAACTACCCCGTCATAGCTTTATTGGAGTCAATGCGTGAAACTACACAATCTTGGTTTTGTAAACATAAGCAGACCGTGCAAAGCACTTTCACAACCTTGTCGAGTAAATACGAGAAGCAATTAAGGAAAATGAGCGCAGATATGAGAAACTTGAGGGTAATCTCTATATTTGTGACCTGAACTTTATATTTGTGACCTAGCACATCTGACCTGTGACCTAATACATCTTTATCTTCGTTTTTGTGACTTGTTATTTACATGACTTGTTCATTGCAAGTTTCTCCTGTAAATGATGCAACATTTTCAGTTACTTGTGAAAGTACATCTTTTGTTGTTGATATAGAACAACGTACTTACACATGTAGGATGCTTCAAGTTGATCAACTACTATATCCACATACATTGGCTGTCATTGCAAGTATGAAAATGGAACCATATGAGTTTTGTTCATACTATTACACAAGAGAAGCATACCGAAATACTTACCAATAAAGTATTTTCCCTATTGGAAATCCAAATGAATGGATAGTGCCCAAAGAATTATGGGACAATGTTGTATTAGCACTTAATCAAAAGAGAAGTTGTAGAAAGCCTACCGAGAAGAGATTTAGAGCTTGTATGGGAGTGATT